AGCAGCAGCAGCAGCAGTAGTTACAGTAGTAGTATTAGTATTAGTGTTAGTAGTGGTGGTAGTAGTAGTAGTAGTAGTAGCAGCAGTAGTAGTAGCTGCAGTATTAGTATTAGTGTTAGTAGTGGTGGGTGTGGTGGTGGTAGTAGTAGTAGTAGTAGTAGGAGGAGGAGGAGGAGGAGTAATGATACCGCGCGGAGCCTCTGTTTCATTCCCGAAGTGGTACACATCATTGATACTGTATAAGTTTTTACTTGGTCCCTGCGGGCTTTGTTTTTTGATCCTGATTGCTTTTTTTGATCTGGCATCCTGTTTGTGCCTGTGGGCGCGATTGGGCATGTGGACGGGTTTGTGCACACACACACTGCAGGTATCGCCGCGGCCCACATTCAGTTCCCCGGTGCAACTTTGGACGAGGTTGTCGCATAGAGCGCCGCCGGTTTGTCGTTTTTGCAGATCAGGGTTGGGATGGGTCCATGGGTCAGAGCCTCCCGATGCAGAAGATTGCGCCTTGCAAACCGACCAGGTTCGAGTCCGTAGATGTGGGAACGATCCGAAACTCTCAGACTTTGAGCCCACGCATCCTCGCATCGGTGTCCAACCCCAGCCCGGTGAATGCCGATGTCAGGACTGAGGCTGAAAAGCTTTCGATAGTGGAAGCAGTAGCAAAGTTGGTCGTTGTGATCGTGGTATGATGCCGACGAGGTTCGCAGGCTGACGGGTGACTGGTTTGTTTGGGGAGTCAACAGCATGTTTGCTGCGAGCAGCTTGTGTTGTCGTGCTGGCATGATGGTAATAGGTGTAGCGCTTGTATGGTTCGGGTTTTGTTCGTGCCTAGCTCAAACTGATGCACCTTCTCTTCTGAGGAGCAGCCCCTCAAGACACATCAGGAGTCAAGACGGCTGCAAAAAGAAGCAGGCCGCAAGCCCCACAGTTGTCCAACACTGTCGGTTGACGCGCAGGATGTCCCGGCTGGTGCTCAAAGTTCCTATTTTCCCGTCCGGGACTTTGGCGCGCGTGGGCACTGTGACCATGCCTTCTCTGAGGGTCCAGGCCATGGGTTGGAGATCCGCTTTGGGTTTACATTTTTACGGGCCCCTACTGGCAGAGGTTCGGGTGGGCCATGACAGGCCAGGGTTCTTGCTTTTGCAGCTCACGGCTTGCCTTTCGGATGCTGTGGGCTTGCGTACTTGCTTTCCAGGCTTTCCAAGATCTGCAAATCAACATCTCGGCCCATGTTCACATCGAGGACCTGGACGTCTTCGGCCTCGCAGGCAAGCGAGCAGCAAAGCCTTGTTGGAGTACTCACCGTACATAGTCGTGACATTGTCCTACTTTGTACGTTGCACGTTTGATACCAGGTGGCCATCGTGGCTAGAACTTGCCAGGAGTTTGCAGCCCGGAAGCTTCGGGATTTATCACAAGCTTTCAATAAAAATTCGGCTTTGGCATGGACATAGACGTGTTTAGTTTTCGGATCGGGCAGACTATGCTTTTGCCAGGGGCTGAGGGCGTCCTTGCAAGCAAAGAGGCTGAACTAAATGCACCATGTAGTGGGGCGTGATCAGTACTTGTTGTGCGTAAGCAGGCAAGCATGCGGTGAGAGAGCCGAATTCCTCCTGGGTGGTGGAAGGAAAGCTTCAGGCACGCTCCTTTGCTCGAAGGCTTTTTTGCAAGGTGTCCAGAGTCTAGAGACAACGGAGAGATGTGAAAGCAGACGTGCCCTCGGCTGAGAGAGAGAGAGAGAGGTATGCAAATGCAAATAAACATGCATACACATGCGCAAGCACTTGCACACAGGCACACGCACACACACGCACACGCACGCACGCACGCACGCACGCACGCGCACACACACACACATGCACACACACACACACACGCACACGCACACACACACGCACACACACAC